GCCCAAGAAGTCGCTGGAGCGGAGGAAGAACCCGCTGCTCAGAAAGGAGAGCGCCCCCCCCAGCCTCCGGCGGCGGCCTGCCGAGACCCTCGGAGGTGAGGGGCGGGGGGGGGGGGCCCGGGCGCAGGCAGGGGTGACGGGTCCCTTCCTCAGGGTTACCACGGGTGCTTGTGCCCGGTGTGCCCTGCACACTGGCCGGGGCTGTGCCAGAAGAGGGGCCTTCAGAGAGCGTGCAAAGGCCCCGGTGACTCCTGATGGCCTGCCTCCTTCCTGCCCTCCTGGGAGGGAAGCAGGAAGCAGAGGCGGCCCTCTTGGCCACTGGCTACTGCCGGGCCTCTGACTGTGCCTCCCTCTCCCTTCCCCTCCCTCCTGCTCCCCAGACTCCTCCCCCAGTAGCAGCAGCACACCTGCGTCAGGGTGCAGCTCTCCCAATGACAGCGAGCACGGCCCCAACCCCATCCTGGGCTCGGAGGTAAGGCCCTGCGGGGTGGACTCCCAGGGGCAGTTCTGGGGCTCAGTCTTCCTCTCAGCAGGGGCCCTGGGGCTGCCGGGCTGCCGGGGCTGGGTGTTCTGGGGAAGGCGTGCCCAGGGGTGGAGGTCTGGGGCCAGTGACCCCTGCTCCCCATGGCAGACGCTCTTGGGCCAGCGGCTGCGGAGGCAGGAGACCTCTCTGGCCCCGTTCACCTTGCCGACAGTGTCCTTGCTGCCCGCAATCACGCTGGGCCTGCCCGCCCCTGCCAGGGTGAGTGGCTGTGGCGCCCTCCCACATGCCAAGTCCCCCAGCTTCCTCTACTCCCTTCCGCTGCCTGCCTCGCCCATCGCCTTCACCGTTCTCTCTGCTGGAACCTGCCCCTCCCCCCTCCGTGACCCCTCCCGCCTCTCCCCCAGGCTGACGGTGACCGCAGGACCCATCCAACTCTGGGCCCTCGGGGGCCAGTCCTAGGCAGCCCCCACGCTCCCCTCTTCCTGCCCCACGGCCTGGACTCCGAGGCTGGGGGCACCATGCCCTCTCGTCTGCAGCCCATCCTCCTCCTGGATCCCTCAGTCTCTCACACCCCCCTGCTGACGGGTGAGTCCTGCCGCTTCCCCAGGGGAGGGGCTGGATCCCTGCACCCCGGTAAGGGCCGACCCCCCTCCACTGCCCCGTCTTTCTGTGCACCTCCCCGCTGAGACCCGCCCCCCACCCGTGCCCTTGCTTCTTCCCGTTCTCCTCCACGGCTCCCTCCTCACGCCGCCCCCCACGTTCTTTCCAGTGCCCGGGTTTGGGCCCCTGCCCTTCCACTTTGCCCAGTCCTTACTGACCACCGAGCGGCTGTCTGGGTCAGGCCTGCACTGGCCGCTGAGCCGGACCCGCTCGGAGCCTTTGCCCCCAAGCACCACCGCCCCCCCGGCACTGGGCCCCCTGCAGCCCCGCCCGGAGCGGCTCAGCCCTCACGTCCAGCTGATCAAGGTGAGGGGGACTGGGAAGGGGAGGTGCGAGGGGTTGCTGCCCTGGGCCCACGGGGCTGCTAGAAGGAAGAAGGGAGGATTTGGAAGGGCCGGGATCTGGAGGGCCGAGAGCCACTTGGCCAGTGGCGTCCCAGCCAAGTAAATGGCCACCTCGCCCCCCGCCCTCCAGCATGGCTTCTCAGCGGGCGTCTTCCCTCCCCAGAGGTCAGCCAAGCCGAGCGAGAAGCCTCGCCTACGGCAGATACCCTCGGCTGAGGACCTGGAGGCGGACGGCGGGGGAGTGGGGCCCCCGGGGGAAGACAGCCTGGCCTGCAGGGGGTCGAGCTCGGGGCAGCACGAAGCCAGAGGCCCTGTTCTCCAGCAGCACCAGCAGGTACGGCCGTGCCCGAGTGCCCCTCAGCGGTGCAGTCAGCGCGGGGGCCTGGCAGAGATGGGAGGCAGGGAGATGGGATATCAATGCAGGGAACAGCTCTGAGTGGGGCCATCAGCTGTGGTAACAGTGCCTCACGCAGGTCCCCGTGTCCTCGGGCAGGTGCACGGTCCTTGTCCCTGCGATCCCGCATCTGGGTTCTGGCTTTGGACTCCCGAGGGCCCAGGGAGCTTGGGGGAGTGGGCTGGTCAGACCTTTGGGGCCTAGTGGGAGTAGGGAGCTTAGAGTCAAAGGCCGGAGCCTGGCTGGGAGGCAACACTAGAGGCATCACCCCTGGAATCACGCCAGAAAAGGGGCCTGTTCGGAGGTATCGGAAGCCAGGATCTTGAGAACCGGGAGACTGAGGCCCCGTGTCCCACAGGTGTTCCTGTGGGAGCATCAGCGCCTGGCCGGACGGCTGCCACGGGTCGGCACCGGGGACTCCGTGCTGCTCTCCCCGGCCCAGGGCGGCCACCGGCTCCTGTCCAGGACGCAGTCCTCGCCGGCTGCACCTGCCTCACTGCCAACACCGGAGCCCCCCAGCCAGGCCCGCGTCCTGCCCAGCTCGGAGGCCCCCACCAGGACCCTGCCCTTCCCCACAGGTCAGTCCTGGGTTAGCGCGGGGCGGAAGGAAGGGCTGGGGACACACAGCGGCTCGGGCACGGGTCCATGTCTGCATCGCAGCACCGCTCAGGACGAGGCCACAGCGCACTTTTTTGGTCCCGTGAGGCCCACACAGCATCTGTGAAGCAGGGGAATAGGCGGCGGTTCTCGTCTTACACACGAGAAGACCAGGCTCAGGAAGTCTAAGGTGACACGCTTGTGGTCAAATAGCAAGCTGCCAGGCGGGGCTAAGCATTGTCGGGGGCTCCTGACCGCTAGTTCAGGCCTTTTGAAAACGTCATCCAATGTTTTTGCTCTGCTTGGAGAAAGAGCTCAGAAGCGTGTCAGCAGCTTTGCCTGGCCAGCGTGGCTCAGTGGTTGAGCATCGACCTATGAACCAGGAGGTCACATTTTCACATTTTGATTCCTGATCAGGGCACCTGCCTGGGTTGCAGGCTTGGTCCCCAGTGGGGGGCATGCAGGAGGCAGCCAGTCAATGGTTCTCTCTCATCATTGATGTTTCTATCTCTCTCTTCCTTTCTCTTCTCTGAAATCAATAAAAAATACTTAAAAAAAAAAAAAAAAGCATTGTAGAAGTTTTGAAAAATGCAGAAAAAGCATAAAAATCGCCACTCTGTATCCCACCACCCAGAGGTATCCACTCTTAAACACTGCTTTGTCCAGGCCATCTGTAAACACACAACATGTACCACAGACACAGTACCCCCCTTTACTCAGTTAACATATTACAAACACTGTGATATAACTCATCTTCAGAAATGAGGTTTTTATAGTGTTCCAGAGTAGTACTTTATTTAAAGATTAGAGGCCCAGGGCACGGGCGTCCCTCAGCCTGGCCTGCGCCCTTTCAGTCCGGGACCCCTGGCTCCTTAACCTCCCGCCCGCTCACTGCCCCTTACCTCTGGGCTCTCTGCTCCTTAGTGCTACTATGCTGGCCAGCCATGAGCCTGGCTTCTGGCTGAGCAGTACTCCCCGCTGTGGGAGTGCACTGACCACCAGAGGGCAGCTCCTGCATTGATCCGCTGCCTCCTGGTGGTCAGTGCACATCATAGCGACTGGTGGTTCTGGTCTTTCCACCCCAAGGTTGCTTAGGCTTTTATTACATAGGTTTTTTTTTTACTGGTTGGGCAGTTAGATGGTTACTCAAACTCCTCATTTGAGTTTCTTTGTGCCTAAACCTTCATTCATCCCTGGGACTGTTCTCCAAGCGGCAGTCTCAGGGAGTGGCATTGCTGGGTCGTGGTGTGAGAATTCTGAAGACCCTGACGCCCTAGACTTGCTGAAAGGGACCGTCCCACTGGCGGTGCACGGGGCCTTCCTAGGTGTCCGCTGGTCAAGCTGAAACAGACCCTCCCCAAACGGCCCCTGTCTTGTCACATGGCCCCGTGTCACTCGGGGCCTCGCAGCTCCCAGTTTTGGAGTTCCTGTGGGATTCTTTCTCCTCTGACTCCTCCTGTTTGAGTCAATACATCCAGGGTGAGACCCCAACATCGGGCCTCCCTCTGTTGGGGTCCGAGTTCTTGATGTGGAAAGGTAGTGGCCTTGTGAGGAGGACCCCTGTGTCAGGAAGGTGGGGCTGTGTGGGTGTGCATGTGAGGAGGCGAGGCTGCCTGGATGAGCAGCCGGGGGTGTGAATTCGTGGGAAGGACCAAAGTGTAGGATGGGGGGTGGGGTGTGGGTGCCAAGCGTGGTTCCATGTGGTGGTGGGGGCACTGTGGACTCCCTGGGGCCCTGACTCTGACCCCGCCCCCCCTCCCCGCCCCCAGGGCTGGTGTATGACTCGGTCATGCTGAAGCACCAGTGCTCCTGCGGTGACAACAGCAGGCACCCGGAGCACGCGGGCCGCATCCAGAGCATCTGGTCCCGGCTGCAGGAGCGGGGCCTCCGAGGCCAGTGCGAGGTGAGGAGGTGGGTGGGGGCTGTGGGATCGGGGAGGTCAGAGGAATGGGAGAGGAGGGGCGGGGCCGAGGGCCTAGCAGGCGTCTTCAAACTACGGCCCGCGGGCCACATGCGGCCCGCAGAGGAGCCTGATCCGGCCCGCCAGGTTTTGTGGGCAGTGAGCGCAGCCGAGGTGTTACAGTAGGAATTAGTAGTTCATATAGTCCGGCCCTCCAGCTCTCTGAGGGACCGTGATCTGGCCCCCACTTTAAAAAGTTTGAGGACCCCTGGTAGAGCCAGCGGGAGATGAAGGAGCAGGCGGGTGGTGGTGATGGCGGGGAGGGGCCTCAGGAGCTCCGTGGTCCGCCCTCAGTGTCTCCGAGGCCGGAAGGCCTCCCTGGAGGAGCTGCAGTCGGTGCACTCCGAGCGGCACGTGCACCTCTACGGCACCAACCCGCTCAGCCGCCTCAAACTGGACAACGGGAAGCTGGCAGGTAGGGCCCGGCGGGGCCTGGGACCCTCGTCCTTCCGCGGCTCCTCTCGCCTACCCATCCCAAATCTCTCCGGTCCCAGCTCCACCAGCCTGTCCCCCAGCATCCTTGGCATCCCCTCAGCTCCCCTGGCCCCTCTGCTGCCCATCCCCTCGCCCGTGCACCCACCCCGGCCCTCGTTCCGGGGCCTCTGTGTCCTGGCCAGGCCAGAGCTGCGAGGCTTCAGCTCCCACACCCCGGCCTCTCTCCGCAGGGCTCCTGGCACAGCGGGTATTTGTGATGCTGCCCTGTGGCGGGGTTGGGGTAAGTGTGCCCGGGGTTCTCGAGCAGGCATCGCCACGGGCTCTCAGGCTCCTTTCCACTCCCCCCGGGCCCCGCCCTGCCTGCTTGTTCTTGTGGTTCTGCCAGACCCAGTGGGCCAGGGACTGTCCCATAATGCCCCTCTGCTGGCTAGCAGCGCCTTCTGGGCAGATCTGTCCTCAGCCAGCCCACCAGTATCTCCTAAGTGTGGAGCCTGTGCCTCACACCGAGAAGGCGCTGGGTCAATGTCGAGGGAGGCTCAGAGAGCAGGGCCGAGTCCATCTCCCTTCATATGACCCCAGGGGTCGGGACTGGCCATTCACCGAGGGAGCTCCCAGGCAGAGTCTGGGCTGCCTGGGCTGGGGCTGTGGGTGCCTCCGGTGTCCTTGGGGACTCGGGCACGTCCCTCCCACGCCCCACGTTCCTCCCTCCCTCCTGCGTGGGGGGCTCCTGCCTCCCTAGCAGTGCCCGCCGTGCCTGAAAGGTCCCTGCAGTGGTTGCCCGGCCAGGTGTGGAGGCAGGATGGGGATGGAGGCCCAGTTCCGGAGGGAAAGGGGAGCTGTAGCTATAGGGGGGACTGTGGGGAGCCAGTCAGCGCCCTATTCACAACTTCCCATTTCTTGCCACTTTCTGATTTTTCCAACTGTTTTTGCTTCTGTTTTCTCCTCCCTTCTCTCCCTCTCTCTCTGTCTCTCTTTCTCTTCCTCCAGCCTCTTGAGACTCTCTCTGCCTTCCTCGCCTCTCTTGGTCCGCCTCGCCCTCCCCATCTCCCCATCATGCCGCCCGGCCCCTCCCTAGCCTTGAGGCCCAGGGACTGGGTTTGGGGGGCCTCCCAGCCTGGGCTAGGGGCCCCGAGTGGAAGACAGAGGTGCAGACGGCCCCTCGAGCTCCGACGTCCCGCAGGGCCTGAGCAGAGCCGGCTGGGGCTCAAAACCCCCTCCAGGCCCAAACCCCAAGTCCCGCCCAGGTAACGCCATGCCCCCTCCTCTGGCGGGGAGGCAGGTGCCGTGGCGCCAGCGGAGCGCTGGCCAGATACGGGCTGGTGATGTGGACTGAAGCGGGGAAGGAGACGTCCTGCTGGGACCGGGGGTACCGGAGGCCTTGCCTTTGGGTGGTGGGGCACTGGGGAGGCAGCACTGTCTGCCCAGCTCCCTGCCCCTGGGGTCCTGGCCACGGGGTGGGCACCACCCATGGGCCCCGGCTCCTGTGGAAAGCCTGGGATGATGCGGGCCCTGACTCTGGCCCCCGCAGGTGGACACTGACACCGTCTGGAACGAGCTGCACTCCTCCAACGCAGCCCGCTGGGCCGCCGGCAGCGTCACCGATCTGGCCTTCAAAGTGGCTTCCCGGGAGCTGAAGGTAGGACAGCGGGGCGGGAGGTGGGCACGCCGCGGAAGGAGGTAGCAGAATGGGGCGGCACGGGGGCCAGACCCGGAGTGAGCCCCAGCACCTCATTTCTCTCGGATAGCACCACGGGGTTTTGGAAGGGGAATCAAGAGCTCTGGGGACCAAAATGAGGTTCATGTTTCTTGGCGGAGAGTCCACCACCGTGACCCTGAACCTTTGGTCTCCAAGAGACACAGGTCCTGATCACACAGGATCATTTAACATAGACCCAACGTGTGCCTGTAGGCGAGTTGCAGGCATCTCTGGACCTCCGTGCATTGGCAGATTGTTTCTTTGCGGTGTTGAAGTTTTTTGTTAATTGAGTTTTGGATAAAGGACGGGAGAGGGATAGAGATATAGAAACACCAATGAAACATCAATCGACTGCCTCCGGCATGCCCCCTACTGGGGATCAAGGCTGCAACCCGTGTGCTCCATGACCTCCTGATTTATAGGTTGATGCTCGACCACTAAGCCACACTGGCCGGGCTCTCTCTCTCTCCTCCCTCCCCACCCCCACCACTCCTGCCACCCAACACACAAACCCCTACAATGCTGAAGTTTTATAGACTGGGTTGGTACCTGGGCTGGACACCTTACAAGGGCTTGTCCTGAGGTTCACACACACACACACACACACACACACACAGTTTAGGAGCTCAGCTCAAGGTGGTCACGGTGTCCTCAGTGTCAAAGCCCTTTGGTGGGTCTTTGCAGTTAAGGGCACAGAACTGGGTTTAGAATTCTGGCTCCACCGTTTACAACCAGGCAACTTTGCACACATTGCTTAACCCACCTAAACGTCAGATTTCTCCTGTCTGCAAGCTGGAGCTAATAATAATGCTTATCTCATGGAGATGTTATGAGGGTGAAATCCAGTGTTTATAAAGAGCTTAGCACAGTGCCAGGCACGAAGTTCTGGCCCAACTAACAGCTGTTATTGCGAAGTGCGAACAGCCAGAACACACACGGAGGGGGGCGGGGGAGGGGGGTGTTCTCTGTTCACATCCAACCTGGAAGCAGAGGATGCCAAGCCTGGGGCTGAGAACGGGGCCCTTCAGACCCATGCTGGCCCCGGAGGCACTGGAGCTGGGGCATGTTTATAGCAATGGGGTCAGAGGGCTGGCCCTGCGGCTGATAAGCATTCTTTCCATTTCCAGAATGGTTTTGCCGTGGTCCGGCCCCCAGGACACCATGCGGACCGCTCCACAGCCTTGTAAGGTCTGGGGAAGGCCGAGGCGGGGAGAGCCTTTGGGGGCTGGACCAGGCCGGGAGCAGGGGGAGAGGGGAGGCTGGACAGGTGGAGGCGCAGGAAGGATGGGCTGTCAGGACTGCCCTTTCCTCCTCCCAGGGGCTTCTGCTTCTTCAACTCCGTGGCCATCGCGTGCCGGCAGCTGCAACAACAGGGCAAGGCCGGCCGGATCCTCATTGTGGACTGGGTATGTCCTGGCCGCTCAGACCCAGAGCCCCGTGGAGAGCGTCCTGAGCCCGGCGTCAGGAAATGTGGCTCCATGTCCTCGCTCGGCATTGGCCTCCTGAGCCTCAGTTTCCCCCTTGTATAAAAGGGAGAAGACGGTGTCTGGGAAGGCCTTCAGCATAACAGACGCCCACACTGGGAGGAAGGAACCACTTGAGTGCTGTCTTTTGGCCTCTGTTGGCTTCTTTCTGCAGCTCTGATTTCTGCATTTCCCCTATAGGCAATGACAGTCATAGTGACAGCAGATAACGTTAACATTCCACTGATCGAATCCAAACACTGATGGATTTCACATGTGACGTAGTCGCTCCTGACTGTAAACAGGTTTTCAGACAAAAGGAAGTGAGCACAGTGAGGTTCAGTAACTTGCATACAGCCACGCACCCAGTCTGTCCTAAGCCAGATTTGAAACCAGTTGCTTAGTGCTAGCGAACGTGCATCTAAGTATAAGCTGCCCCACTCTGCGTTGACACCTGTGCATGGGACATGCCTGGTCAGAAGCTGAGGACAGTGAGGCCGTGAGTTACCGACCGCAGAGCCACTGCTTTCCCTGGGATGGATGGCGATGGGCCGCACGTGCCTGCCCCTCGGTACTTGAGTTTGTTTCTCATCACCCGCATCATCCCATGACCTTGGACACGACACAGCAGTGAGATTTCCTGATGTATCATCCTGGACTCTGCCCTCTCCTCCACTAATCCGCTCCCACACACTCTCACGGTCAGGCCTGCTTCCTCCCCTCAGGCTCTCCTATGATAGCCACCCCCATTCAGCGTGTTATACACACATCTCTGCACACACGGAGAGACTGAGGCTCAGAGGGGACCCACGGATGTATTACTCAACAGTTTGGCTCTAGGGTCTCCAGTTTCCTCACCCCCTGTCTAGGGGTCCTGACCCTCAAACTGGTCACTAACCCCCAAACCCTTCTGACCTGCTCCACTCTCCATCTCTCCGCTTTCATACCTTCCCTAATCCACTGCCCATCTCCCACAGGACGTTCATCACGGCAATGGCACCCAGCACACCTTCTACGAGGACCCCAGCGTGCTCTACATCTCCCTGCATCGCCATGACGGCGGCAACTTCTTCCCGGGCAGCGGGGCTGTGGAGGAGGTAACCACGTGTCGGGTCTGCCTCTTCCAGCCCCATTGACTCTCTCCCGTGACCCACTCTGCCTCTGTCCCAGCCAGCTGTGTGGTCCTGGATAGCTTGTGTAGCTTCTCTGGTCCTGTTTCTCCATCTGAAAGTGAAGAGGGTACATGAGCTGGTCTTGCAGAGCTGACATCCTGGGATTCCTCTCCCGGGACGCTGCTCTCCTCACGTCTCTCTTGCATCCTGATTTCCAGGTGGGAGCCGGCAGCGGCGAGGGCTTCAACGTTAACGTGGCCTGGGCCGGAGGCCTGGACCCCCCGATGGGGGATCCCGAGTACCTGGCTGCCTTCAGGTAAGTGCTCTGAGGCCTGGCGCATCAAGGCCACCCTTTCCAGCAGCCCCAGGCTGGAGGCAGGCAGTTGGTTTGTCAGCCTGTCCTCATTCAGTTACCAGTCGTTATAAGCCAGCCCCAGAACCGAGGCAAACAAAAGCAACGGCACTGTCATACTGGCCTCTAGTAGCCTCCAGCTCCAATGCGAAGACAGGAAATGGAATGAAACAGTCCAAGGGCACTTTGTAAAGCCATTTGTTACCAAGAGCCAGTGTTGAGCTGAGTGCTGGGAGCCAGGCAGGTGGAGTGAGCAGAGCATTCAGTCCAAGAAAGCTGCCTGGAGGTGGGCTTTGTGCAGAAGGTGAGAAACTTAAACTGCAGAGAAAGAGGGAAAGCAGACGGTGTCCGTATTGGGGGAGTTGCTTAGGAAAAGCCATTCTAGAAGAGCAGCTTTGGGCCCTGTGCAAGGGCCCTTATATAGTTCTTCCTGGGCTCCACCACTCCGTTTGGGAAAAGGAGATCTGGAAATAGGTCTCCAAATACTTTCCTGAGACATTTCCCATCAGAGCTCATTTTGTAGAAGCCCTGCCCGTAGCCCAAGGCTTTGGAAGACACCAAAATGGACCCTAGAGGTGGGCCAGGGATGTAGGGAGGCAGCTGCGGGGGTTGGCAGGGCTGAGGAGAGAGTACATCTGGTAGCCCAGGATCTCAGAGTCTAGGCATCCTGGTCAGCTCTTGGGTGGTGAATGGCGAGGTGTGGTGGCAACTAAGTACTGAGTATTTCTAGTCCCTGAGGCTCAATGACCTGTACTTTTTTTGTAGCTCTGACCACTGCGCTCTACACACACACACACACACACACACACACACACACACACACTCTTTCATCCCCTCTGGTACCCCATCTTGGCTCCTTCCTGCCTTGTACCAGTTAAGCATGCTTGGTGTGTGCCCTTAGGCTGTGTCAGGGTAATGGCACATTCGTGTACAGAAGCTAAGGTCTGAGAAGTCAGAGGGGCCCTGGCTTTGCTCAGTGGTTAGAGTGTTGGCCCACTGACCAAAGGGTTGCAGGTTCAGTTCTTGTTCAAGGGCACATAACTCAGTGGCAGGTTTGACGTTGGCCCCTGTCAGGGCTCAAGCGGGGGGAATGGGAGGAAACCAATTAATGTGTCTCTTGTGTTGGTATTTCTTTCTCCCTCTGCCTCCCACTCACTAAGAGTCAATGGAAAAAATATCCTCGGGTGAGGATTAAAAAAACAAAAGGCAGGCAGAGGGATCCATTAATTCTTCTGGGAGACTGAGTATCTTAGAGTCCTAATAGCAGGCTGCCCCCCAGTAACGGTGGTGGAGAGAGCTGGCACCATGGAGGCCCTTGGCCTCCGCCCAGCAAGGCTGCCGTGTGGTGAGCCCTCCTCCTCGCACCCTCACAGGATAGTCGTGATGCCCATCGCCCGCGAGTTCTCTCCGGACCTGGTCTTGGTGTCGGCTGGGTTTGATGCTGCCGAGGGTCACCCGGCCCCCCTGGGTGGCTACCATGTTTCCGCAAAATGTAAGGAGGGCCCAGCCCAGGGGAGTGAGGGCGGGGCTGGGAGGGGAGGGCGGCTGTGTCCGGCCGGGACCATGAGTGTGAGGACTGGGGGGTGGCGGCTGGAGCCCTGGGATTCCCTGGGTTCCCCTCGCCCAGCATAGCCAGGGCCCTTTCTCACGGCCAGCTCCATTCACCACGGAAAGCTTAACTAAGTCACACCCTGGGGACACAGGAAGCTCAGCCATAGGGCTTCCCTCCCCTCCCCCAAGTGTGTCGTCCCAGG